TATTTAAGGTCTGCATCATCTCTTCCTTCTCTTGAGTCTTGGCATCACATTCTCGTTCTTTCTTTTCCAGTTTCTGTTGTAGCTCATTGTGCTCTACACATGAAAACAATTGTACATGAAAATAGGAGAGTCTTTAAAGCTGAAGCATTTTCTCTAAAAAAAAAAAGATTGACTGAGGATGATAGCAGAGATTATGAGGATCTTTATTAGGTAAAAATTATTCCTCTTCTCCATCAAAGGAAGCAACTCAAGGGCTAAATGATGTTTGTGCTTGCAGTGGGCTTCGGATGAACAACATTATTAACTATGTTCTGTAAGAGACTTAAGAGACTCTACACTCAGAGTTCTAAGTGTAAAACAAAAGTTTGAGTGATTACTGGTGGAGGAGAATGGTACCAAAGTTCATTCAAATCTTGTCATGAAAATGGTCCTTTAACAATACTAGGAAAAAATAAATATTCAAATGGACTCTTCGCAAATTAGAAATGAGACAAAGAGAAGTTCAGCTTTTATGAGTTAGGTTTGCCAGCTCACCTCCACCAGCAGAAGGGCTGGAAGGGAAGGTCTCATGTGTGAGGAAGAGCTGCTGCCAGACCCGGGGTTTGTCCCAAGAGGGACTCATTTCTCCCCTCTCCCCTCAGAAGGCTACTTGATGTATTTTATACTTTCAGTAAACAATTATTAAGACATGTGAAAGCAAATGTTATCATCTCAGTATTAAACATCTTAAAGGGAGTGGTGTCAGCGGAATGCTAGAATCATGGTAATACGGAGGAGAAAAATATTGACTCTCAGCTGTAGTTTTACTGACTTCCTCAATCCTGCTATAATAAAACAGCACATCCAATTCAGCATAATGCTTATTCACATTGCCAATGGATATAAGCTTGCTGACAGGAGTGATGAGTTTTGGAAAAGAGAACGAACGAAGTTTAGGCTGTGGATTTTTATTTCAAATACGTGGCCCTAATTCCTATTCTTTTTATATCAATAAATCCACTAGAGGTATAACCCACTGGGGCAGAGCTATGCTAATAGAGCTAGTCTCTATTTCTGAATTTGATAACACTTTTAAATTCTTGTTTTCTCTCTGACCTTCTCTCTCCTGAGTTCCCCAAAATCAGAGTTTACAGGGAGGAGTTCAAGCCACTAAAATCCCTGGATTTTGCCAGCCTTGGAATTAAAATAACCAGCAATCCACTTCTACCACTCTATGATTGCTTCCCTAACTTCTCCAGAAATATATCTAAAAATGACCTCACTATATCCCATTTTCCTTCTTTTATCTCCATTTCACTCTTCTTTTACAATTTCAGGACTAGAAACTTGCCTTCCTCTCACTCAGGGTTGGCTGTGCCTCAGAATTATCTGAGAAGTTTTAACATTTCAAGACTTCCCAGACACTATTCCAAGAAGTCTATTTTGTAGGTAGGCGAAAGGGCTTGGGAATGTGCAGTATTTAAATGATCCTTAGATGATCATGATATATGCCAGGTAGGAAGCTCCAACCTAAAGGACTCTCCCTACAAATGGTACCTGTTTACCACCTAGTTACTAAGATTTTATTGAGCACTTCCTGGGTGTGCGGCCCTAAAGAGAATTCTCCCCAAATATTCTCTACCTTTTAGGTCCATAGAACTTCTGTCTCCTTATTGCCTTTTATCATTGGACTACTATGTGCCCTCTTTAATACAATTTTGTCACCTGAAGCTTCCAGAAAAAAAAATTAACATTTAACTAGAACCTTTCTTCTTTTAGCCTCTACCCATAACTACACCTTAAAACATCAAAATAACCTGTTCCTCCCACTGACATTGGAGATTTTCTTTTGCATCATCTCAGCCACCTGAATCCTGCAACAGTGGCTATCATTTGTTGTGCAAGTAGCATGTGCCTTACACTACACTAACGTTCCTGTATTTGTTGTGTCATTTAATCTTCACAACCACACTGTGAGTTAGGCTTAATTCTCAGGTTGCAAAGGTGGAGACTAGGGGAGAAGAGAAGAGATGACTTAGCCTATCCACACAGTGAGTCAGGGGGAGAGTTGAGACTCAGACCCAGAACTCAGCACAGTGCCTGACATACAGGCATTCAACAGGCATTATTCACTGAATGAATAAATGAATGAATGAATGAAAGCTTACATCCTAAGTGCTCTCCTCAACTTGCACACTTGAGTGTCCATATTCTAGAGTGTATTCCTAAAATATTCACTCATTGACCATTTTTCTCTTTGGTTTAATCTCTTTACCCTGATTTTTAGTCAATGTTTCTATTTTTGTAGCAGTTTCTGAAATTTATTTTTTAAAATGCATGGGTAATATCACTTATTGAGAGCAATCTGAATACATATGAGGAACTTGTAACATAACAGTAGTTAGTTCACATTTGGTATTTTCTGGTATCAGTTATGGCCCTGCTTTTCTGCTCAAGGGAAACATGATGAGAGAAACGGAAATGCTTAAGCATCTCTTGGACCTGCTTTTCAGCACATTAAATATTGGGGTGAGTGCTATTCAATTTCATTGGCTGTGGGTGAATAACTTGGACAAGGAAAAGGAAGTCAGTTAACCAGTATGGTGAGAGCATAGTGGCTCGCAGTACAATTGTTTCCACAAAGGGGCCAACTTCAATTTGCTAATATTTTAAAACAGGAAGGAAAATGATATACATTTCTCCATATGGCTAGCAGAATGATGGACATAAATGTCTCTCCTATCATTTGATGCTGAGAGATAATATCAAAGACATTCAAAATATACACTAATAGCTGGTCAGCTAATGATTCATAACACATATCTCAGCAATGGTCACTGATTTTCTAAATGACTTTTTTTTTTTTTTAATAATTGGTACCAAGTCAAGGTCAGAGAGAAAACTGGGTTATTGAAACCAAGTGACCTGTTCTTCTCTTTTAAAATTTTGGATAATCCCTCATGTGCCTTATTGTATTTCTTAAAACCCAGTATGCTTTAAAGAGCCATTATGGAGTAGGGGAAGGCTTTGGATTATTAGTAGTTAGGAAAATTTGATTTAATGAATACCGAACAGCAAATGCTATAAGCTTTTCAAAACATTTACGTGATTATAATAAAAGGAAAAAATACTTTAGAATCCGCATGACAACTAAAATAGCTCAATTTAAGAAACCCAGTGCAAATGCCCTTAAAAGATAGAAAAAGGCTGCTTGAACCAAAGTCAACAAGAAACATCAATGTAAATTTCCAAAATATATGGAAATCAAGGTCACCCAATAAACAAAAGCATAGCCTCTTCTCTTGTTAGGGCCTCATCATTTACCTTTTCTCATTTTTTCCGCTTGTTCTTTCCACTGCTTAACTTCATTTTCATTAACCAACCTGTGTAAGAGTTCAAGGAGCATTTATTACAAAAAATATAAACGGTCCACTGCAAACTGCATTCTCCCTAGGTACAAAAATAGTCTACTGCAGAGAAAATCCTCAGCGCATGCTTGAAATCCATTTAAAACCAGATGTTACTTAGATATAGTGCATGTGTATAGTAACTCATATTTGACCCCTAGAACATTTCAGCTCTCCCAGTTGTTACTCTGAAATAGGATAAATATCTTACATTGTCACCATTATCTCACAGGCAGCAGAATAAGAAGAGACTTACATTCGTACGACATTCTTAATATTAAAGTTTTCCAAAGGTGTGGAGTCAGGGTCCTGTCCTTTGTCATTCTGGATAACTATCTGCTGTATAATTCTATCTAGTAGTAGCCAGTACTGAACAGTGTTGCCACTCCTCTTGTCTAAAAAAGAAGAGAACAGTGAAAGAAAATGCTCAAGTTGTTTCTAAGCTAGGACGAATATTTGTCAATAGCGGTCACCCTTCAGAGCCACAGAACCAGAAAGATGTTTACAACATCTGCACCAATGCTTCCCATAGTGTATGGAATTTTGACATGCAATGATCATTAATGTGATTGAGAGTGACCTTCTATACCTTTCTAAACAGGTTGTAAGGCATATTTTTTATTTTTAAAATCAAAATTTTGATTCATTAAAAAAATTTTGTAACACCCCTTAAGCTGTACAGACACACATTCTGGGCTGGCATAAAACAAAGGCTTGGAATCTCTGGTGTGCACCGAATGTAATCAGCACTGTTCAGGAGCCAGAACCCTTCGGACAATGTCCAAACATTCAGAAGCACACATGTAAGTCACAAACACACTTACAAGGCATTTGGAGGCAGTGGTGCAGGATGGACATGAAATGCGGGTAAGCTTCACTATGAGTCAGCCTCTTCCTGGTCAGCTCAAACATCTGAGTTGCACTTTTTGTGTCTATGTGAACCTATTTTGCAGGAAAAAGAAATCAAATCAAACATCTAAGTTCTTCAATTCCCCCAGTGTAAAATAAACTTAAAGCAAACAGAAGCTAATCCTGCCACTTAGATAACAAAATAGAGCTTCAATTTTGCTTTTAGGTTGCATTGGTCCATGTGAACTCTACAGCACATATTACAAAGAGAAATAATGTGAACTGATAAGTCAAACCAGAATAACTGTAAGCATATATACCAGTTCAAATCTTTTGGCAAATTCTAGTTCATCTTCATTTCGGAGCATTTCAAAAAAGTCTAAATGCCTGAAAAATAATGAAAGAAATATTATTAAGTAGAACATCCTACAAACACAGGTGCACAGTACTGAGGACATGAATACTAAGGTTTTTCCTGACTTTTCAGAGATATCTCAAAAAGAAACAATGGAACAAAATTTGAATGCTTCAACTTAACTATGTTCTTTCTAAGGAAAAAAGACATCACCTGAGTGAAACAGATTACAATAAGAGAAAAATTTTAAAGTCTAGGCTGCCTAGCATATAGTAGGCAATTACTAAAACGAAATCTAAAAACAATCAAGTCCAAATTCCATTCATGGATTCCCTTTACAGGAAAACATGCCCATAAAACTACACTTAACTTCCAGCTGAATTAAAGATCACAAAACAAATGATCATGCCATTCATTTATTCAGTCATGTATTTATTGAGCACCTACTATGTATTCTATACACCCAGGATGCATTTTATGAAGACAAACACATCAGGGTAAAAAAAAAAAAATTGAAAATGGTGGCAGATGAGGTGAATAATGTACACACAGTGGTTAGATAAGGTCTCTCTCCAGGGAACTAGGGAACAAACAATTTGGACATCTGGGAAAGATCTTCTGAAGCTGAGGAAATAGCAAGTGCAAAGGCCCTCATGCAACAGTGTTTTTGATATGTTCACAGACTATCAAGGCGAAGAGCATGCTGGAGTATATGAATATAGAGGAGAAGAGAACAGTGGTAGAGAAAAGCTCTGAAATCAAGTAGGGATAGCTTAGAGATAGTAAAATGATTGCAAACGAGCAAATGAACCAGCAGTGGAAATTAACATTCACAGAATGCCTATCAAAGGGGCTAAGTGATTCCAAAGGTTTTATAGTCAATTTTTACAATACTTCTGGAAAATAACTGTCATTATCATCATCACCACCAGCGCTTATTTTTTTACAGGTATAAAAATAGCAAAATTCAGAAAAATGGAGTAACTTCACCAGGATACACAGGACATACGAGGCAGGACTAGGATAAGATATGAATTCAGGTCTAACGCCAAAACCCACATTACGTTTTCTACATAATGTGCTGCTTCCCTCATCAACGAAGTCTTACTATAAAAATATCATTAGCTGAACTAACATTCTGGTACAAGCTCTTTACATTACAGACAGGGCACAAGTAACCACAGGCCAGCACTTGATGAGGCATTGCATTACAGATGGAAAACACAGAAACTTTCTCACATCAAAACAGTCTGACTTACCTATCTAATGTTGAATTTTCATGTTCCCTTAATTTATCTATTACGGGTTGAATTCCTAACATCAGAAATTCATAGCGAAGATGAAGTCTGAAGTNCCTATCTAATGTTGAATTTTCATGTTCCCTTAATTTATCTATTACGGGTTGAATTCCTAACATCAGAAATTCATAGCGAAGATGAAGTCTGAAGTCCAAACTCTCCTGAAAGTAAAAGGGCAATAAAATACATATTTGTGGTTTTTAGACTAAATAATAATTATTTTTTATAAATTATTCTTTACTAATAGATTTTTAATTTATAGTAGAAGGTTCTTACCACTCCTGCTCCTTGGCTGAGCACCGCGTTAATGAAGGACATGATTGCAGTCTTGAGACTCACTTCATCTCGATACCGCCCAGTGCTTTTATCCAAGTCGTTAATTAACGTCT